CCAGTCCAGAAGCTTGAAAACATCTTCCAATGCAGCGGTAAAGAGTTTCGGGGATATGACGTCACCCTGTCTTACACCTCTCTGCAATTGGATAGGTTTCGTACTCTGGTTCTGTACTCGGATAGCCATCGTAGCCCTACTGTACAAGCACTTCAACACTTCGATATACCGACAGTCAACTTGGCATCGCTGAAGGGACTGCAGCACCGCCCAAATTTCGACGGAATCAAAGGCTTTCTCATAGTCCACATACGCCAGACATAGTGGCAAATTGTACTCCTCGGACTTCTGTACAATTTGCCGAAGGGTATGTATGTGGTCTATGGTGCTAAAGCCTTTTCGGAAACCGGCTTGTTCGGGAGGCTGGAAGTCGTCAAGTCTGCGCGCGAGACGATTCGTAATGACTCTCGAAAACAGCACGTAGACGCGGCTCAGAAGGGAAATCGGTCTGTAGTTCTTCAAGAGAGCGTTGTCGCTTTTCTTGAAGAACAAGACCACCGCACTTCTGCTCCACGCCTCCGGTGTAATGCCACCATGGAGGACGGAATTAAAGAGCTTCTGAAGGACTTCAAGTACCGGTTTTCCACCCGCTTTCAGAAGCTCCGCTGTAATTCCATCCTCGCCTGGGGCCTTGCCGTTTTTAAGGTGCTGGAGAGCCATTCTAATCTCGCTCAGACTGACGTCCGGGATATCAACGGAATAATGTCGGATAAGACTCGCTCTTGGATCGTTGCTTTCACTTGCGTGCGGCTCCAACGATGACGTGTACAGCTGCCCATAGAACCTCTCAATCTCACTCAAAATCTCAGGTGCCCCGGAAACGATGCTGCCACATTCTGTCTTCAGCTTTGACAGTTGGCGCTTTCTGGCAGACAGATCTCTGGCAAAGACTTTGGAGCCTTGGTTCCGCTCGATCGCTTCTTCAATACGAGCTGTATTGAAGTTGCGTAAGTCCCGCCGCATGCATTTGGAGATCTGTCTGTTCAGTTGCCTGTATGCTGTCAAGTCTGTTGAAGAATGTAGCTTCATCTCCCGTCTAACAGCCATGAGATTAAGAGTGTGATTGGAGAGTTTTTGTGTTCTTCTGCGGCGGGTCTTGCAGAACTTAGCTCCGACCGCATGGACAGTTTCCACGAGCTTGTCATTCAAATCGTCCACTTCATTGCAGTCTTCTAGGCACTGAAAACGGTTTTGTAACTCGAGCTGAAAGGTTTCGGGACTTTGGATTAGAGCACGAGGGGGACGGAGCGTTGACTTCATTAGACGAGACCTCTCCAACTTAACGTTTAGGTTCAGTGTGCCTCTGACCATTCGGTGATCGCTGCCGGTTTTCACCCTCGCGATCACTGAGACATCACTGAACAGTTGTCGTCTGGTCGTCATAATGAAGTCAATCTCATTTTTTGTCGAACCGTCGGGGCTCGACCAGGTCCATTTCCTGTGGGGCCGCTTCTGGAAGAAAGAGTTCATCATAAAGAGTCCCTCTTTCTCCATGAAGTCAGCCAACTGCTGGCCCCTTGGGTTCCGTTGCCCTATTCCAAATTTCCCTACTTTCAGCTCACCGTTCTCTCTTGTGCCTAGTTTTGCATTGAAGTCTCCCATTAACACCGTATATTGGGTTTTGGAGGAATGCATGGCTCTAGAGATATCCTCATACATTTCCTCCACCTCCTGATCGGGGTGTGCCGAGGTTGGTGCGTAAACCTGTATGACCTTTAGCGAATACCGTTTGGTGATTCTGAGTATAAGGTACGCAACCCTCGTCGACACACTCCCGATCTTTACAACGTTGTTAACGAGAGACTTGTGGACGATAAATCCGACACCTCCTAGGGACAGATGGTCGCCCTCCCGGTAATAGAGCAAGTTGCCGGATTCGAGGATTACCGTGTCCTCTCCCTCTCTTCGGACTTCGGATAATCCTATAATATGCTAGCGTAACTTGTCTATCTCTTCTTCCAGCTCCACAATCTTCTCGTCAGTCCTCAGGGTGCGTGCGTTGTATGTTGCCAGGTCGAGTCGTCGTAGGTGGCAACCGAACCTCCACCGGAGATTCTTAGCACCCCCTGCCCCGCCGTTACCATGGTCGCCACCGTAGCCAGGAATAGCGGGGCCGCCGGGGACTGGGGGCCGTTTATTATTGTCATTGCTCATGGGGGGTATATTGCCATAGTTGCCACGCTTGGCGAGCGGGTTGGCAACTGCAGTTTTTTTATTGTTATTTTGACTAATATCAGGAAGATGCTGCTGCCCATCTCCTGCCTGTTTCCCTTTGTCGCCTTTTACGACACCCACGGGAAGATATGGGGTAGTGGATATTCTTAACCGCCACTACACGGATAGTGGTATGTGTATTTACAAGTAAATAAAAGGTGTCCGTTTTATTTACGCTGTCCATACAAAACACAGCGGTATTAAGCTGCTGCTATTTTAGGCTGGTATTTTTGTATGAGCGTGTTCCTTCCCCAGTCAAACCAACTCATTCGTGATGCAGCAGCGTGGTTCTAGTACATATTCTTTATATGATTGATATTCAACTTTAGTAAGGATGTTAACGAATGCAAGCTGGCCAATGGCCGGAGATTTAAGCACTGATGACAACTATAAAAACAATTTTTTTTTCTTTACACTTCATGACTTAAAATGAATGCGCAGAAGCGTTGTAGTAAAGTAACAGCATGTGCACGACCCATAGCTGGTCACAGGCCTCAGTTTTAGGACAACGAATTGTTCACCGAGCTGCCTCCATGCGTGTTGCCAGACTTCACATATATTTGCAATATTTTATTTAAATTTCTCAGCTGTGCAAGTTTCCTTAGAATGTTTTCATTACCGCTGAGTACGTGGGAAGCGTAATAGAAATATATATTTATCCCGGAATTTCCTTATGCTTAAAATATAGAGGCGAATGTAAGAATTAATTTCGTTCACATAATGAGATCTCTCATTTCCACAGCGATTCAATTAGAGCGCCTTTGAATCACGAATTCCGTTTTCAGGTACATTAATTTTGTATTGTGTTCTACACTACTGAGTAATTGTGAAAGATATTTTTCTTACGAAAAAATTCATATTTATGTGTCTCATAATGCTTTTTATATCATTATGATAAGAAAAAAAAATTAAATATTTCCGTAATCAAAAATATTTTCTTATTTGAATATGAGTGAATAGTGTGAGAGTGATATCGAAAGAAGAGTTAATGCAGGACACATAAATGGAGCTTTTCACTCCTTTATGAGCAGTCGGAAGGTGTCTAACAAGGCTCGTTTGGCTGTACATGAGGGGGTGTTGGTTCCGACACTCATGTACGGAAGTGAAAGTTGGGTATGGCAGAAGAAACATGAAAGCAGAACAAATGCAGTTAAGATGAGAGCATTAAGAAGTATGATAGGAGTTAAACTGAGTGACAGGATAAGAAATAGTGAGATAAGGAAACGTTGTGGCCTGAAAGAAGATGTAGTGACAAAAATTGAGAAAGGTATGCAGAGATGGTTTGGCCATGTCGAGAGAATGAATGAAGAACAGTTGACGAAAAAAGTGTATAAGGCGAGTGTGAATGAAAGTGTAGACCTAGGCGGACATTTCTAGACCAAATCAGGGACGTCTTGAAAAAAGGCCAGGTCAAAAGTACCCTAAACCGTAGAGCATGTATGAAGGGAATAATGAAAGTGGACGAAGCGAAACAAGTATGTAAGGATCGTAGCAAGTGGAAAGAAGTGGTCTCTGACTACCCCTATGCGAAAGAGACGTGATTATATGTATGTATTTGAATATGGAGTACAGTCTGTCTCATAATAAGTAGGCACATTTTGGCTATTCACTAATACCAACGTCGAATGAAAGATTTCTTCTTAAAAAAAAGACGTTGTGCAATTCATACGCAGTAGAAGTGAATCTTCAAATGAAATAACATATAATTTAATAATTTTTCAATAATATGGCTTTAACCCTTGTGTGACTGACAAGGTACCTGGGTAAATTTTGCGTTTTCAAATCACTAATATTCTGTTCTCCAAAAGCGGCGGATCTTGTACCTTTGTGACATCTTTCAGCAGCGTGGTTGGTACTTCCACGACCTTTTTTTTTCAATTTAGAATTTATTTTACACTTAAAGAAATTTGTTTCTTTGTTCAGCTTTAGATGACGGAGTAGGTACCCGGGTATCTTTAAGCTTTTTTACATATTTATTATACAAAATCAGTTAAAACTCGTAGAAGCAATACTATTATTGCTTTTATGTCTAAAATAAAAATATTTCAAACAAAATTACAATGTTTATTGAGCTTTTTGTTTACAAATGTTACAGGTTGGTTTATTTACACAATGTTCATTACAGATCGGTTTGTGACAAATCGAACAAACTTTTCTAGTTTTACGTTGCTTGTGACTCAATTCTCTGCAAATAAAGCAACTGCCTACTACGGGTATGCGTAGAGTTTTGTCACGGGGTGTCTGACTGTGGTCTTCAGCAACCACTTCTTGAAACAATTGCTGCCCAAGTACAATTTCAATTGAAGTACGTGTAAAGTAGTATCCCTTCACTCTTGGAATGCTAGAGCGATTCTGTATGGCAGGAAGGCATAACTGTTTTGCAAGGTCTTTCAAAAAAAGTCGTCGGCTATCAGTGCGTCTAACGTTTTCATTATGTTCCAAAAATATAATGTAAGAAGCCAGGGCAGCAACATCTGTGATATTGTAAAATAACGCAAGCGGCCAACGATTTTTTCTACGTTTTCTTGTATATTCCGTCACCATTTTTTCCATTGTGTCAACGCAACTTTTGGTTTTATTGTAATATTTGATAATACTCGGCTTAGCTGTCAAATTTTCTTCTACTTCAGCTGTGCCATGCATTGATGACAACAAGACAACTGAATTGTTTCTTTTGGGCACGTATGAGCAAAGAGTTTCGTTTTCACGAAATGCAAAATTCGTAGATAAGATAAGCTCTTTCTTTTGATGCTTGCATGTTAAAGGGTAGCCATTGTTTATTTTTTCTAACGGTACTTACTAAAGTCATACGCCATGAATTTAAAACTCGAGCCAGTTGCAAGCTGGTAAAAAAATTGTCTGTAGTAATATTTCTCCCTGAAGACCGTCTTTTCACCAACATTGACTTGACGTTGCCCGTCTAATGGTTTTCCTGTATAACTTTGTCCTTGTAGAGGATAAGCGTTTGAAGAATCGCATGCCCAGAAGATTTTTATACCATACTTTGCTGGTTTGGACGGCATGAATTGCATAGATTTTGTATGTCCTTTGTAAGGGAACAATTGTTCATCTACAGTTATGGATTCATTGGGTTTATAATGTTTTTTCAAATTTTCATTGAGCATCGTCCACATGTCGCGAATTGGCGCAGCTTTGTCGGTTTTTACACGTTCATTACGTGTGCTTTCATTGTCAAATCGAATGAATCTCAAAAACATTTTGAATCAGTCACGAGACATAGCCGCTCGTATCAGAGGCAAAGATTCTAACTTCCACATTTCGGAATGTGGAAGTTAGAATATATGTTCTTTATTAGATCTATGTTCACCAGCTGCAAGAAGTATTCTCAGAAATGCATCAAATTCTATTTCAGTAAACAATTGAATGTTTTTTTTGAAATTGCCGGTTTTTAGCCATTATTTTTCTGTTATAATCATCCGTTACTTTTTGGGCTTTTCGGTTGGTTTACCTTAGAATAATATCACACATTTCCGTAGATATGATTATTTTGAATATTTCTTTTGCCGAGTAGGATGCGATGTAATTTGCTGCTCCAGGTTTTTGACGTAAAATATTGCGACGCAATGTCTGAGCTTGTGGAAATGCATCCCTGTACCATTGAGTGCCATCTTTACTCAATAACTTCGACTCTATGGGCGGTTCTTCTTCATCTTCGTCATCAGAGTCATAGTACTCTTCTTCCTCAATTACAGGATTTTTTTCTGAATCTGACTCTTCAAAATCCACAGCTTCCCGTTACGGCACATATTCATCCTCGTCAGACGCAGTGTATGGCTCTTCTTCCGATTCCGAATCATCTAGGGCGGCTCTCAACTCGGCAGATGTCAATCTAAAATAACATATTTTTTTATTAGAAACTCAAATAGATCGTTTGATTTATTAGTCTCGGACATCCAAAATTTAAATTTGAATATAAAATAATAATTATTGTTTGCTTACCTTTTATTCCGCCACTTCGGCACGGAATATCCGCTTGGACCAGCTTTATTATCATCATCCATTTTTGTGACACACTATCAAATAATTTCGAAAAACACGTCTTTACACAGTGAATTTGCTTGCACAAATGCTCGGACGCAACGAACCATGCAGGAGGGCAACATGTTCCGACAAGAAAAAACTTGTAAAACAAAGTTGAAATACATCTAGAGTGCAGGAATAATCTTAACACAGGACGCACTATGAGTAACAAACAATTACAATTTGCGTAAATTTAAATTTTTACTCCCCAAAAAATATTTTGTTCGTCAAATGGTATCAATAAATAAAATTAATTTTCAAATGACTGTATGGGGTAAATCTAAATACAAGTCATTTTATCTTGTTTATCTAAATATTCATGGTTAAATATTAAATACACCATAAAAAATCCATATTAACGTCAAAAACATGTTAAGAATTATAGCAGGTACCCGGGTACCTATACCGTCACTAGAAGGTATTTTATTTCACAGTCACACAAGGGTTAAAATCTCATTTCGTAAAAAAACATACTTTGGCCCTTTATTTTTGTTTGTTTTTGTTCTTCTTAATCTGTGACCTGGTGCTAACCAGGTCACAGATTAAGAAGAACAAAAATATTTAAATATTTCCGTAATTAAGAATTATTTTCTTATTTTAATATGAAGTACAAAGTCTATCTGATAACAAGTAATTACATCTTGGCATTTCACTGGCACCAACGTCGAATTAAAGAGTTCTTCTTAAAAATAAACATATGTGCAGTTCATACGCGGTAGAAGTAAAACATTCAAATGAATGATATATTTAGTTTGATAATTTTCAAAGACAAGTTCGGCATAAAACCGTTCGGAATTAACTCAGCATAACGTTTTTTATTGAAAAAAAAATAAGATTAAATTTTAATTGCTTTAAGCAAATAAATGTTATAATCATTATTTTTAGACATGTAGAGCTTAAATTTTAGTGTATTAAATTAAAATTATATTTTCTTTCAACTAAAATTGCATTGAACAGCTCAAGCCATAGCAATAGATGCTATGGCTTGAGCTGTTTAATGCTGGTTTCTCTCGGTGCTTATCGGATGACTAGACGTTGTTTGCGCGCCAAGTCGATTGTTGCATTATTTTAATTTTTCATTACCCCTTAAACTATGCGCCCAAATAATATGCTACTAAGCGCGAAGCTTATCTTCATAAAATTGTCTAGATGATGAAGTAACTTTCTTTCGTAAGGATTAATATGCCATACCTAATTATAACTTCCATATATCACTTGTTTAATTTTCAATATTTATTTTGTCACATAATACTTTTTAGTGACTGATGTATAAGAAACAGACCTATGGTATCGCAGATCTTTTTTTTTGGGTGGAGGAATAAGCTATATTTTTGTAGAACATATTTACGTATCACAAACCATTACGCCAGCGCACGCGGATAAAGCAGTTTGGAAGCGCTTTTTCTTCCGACTTGATTAACACTAATCAATATTTAAGGCTAGCTGAGAGATGTAGCTTTTGCTAGATAGGCTATACTATTCCTCGTGACTCTAGCTATTATGTACAGAAATGATTTATCAGATCAGGCTGATACTTTCAGAGATTAGTGTGTTTAAACAAACAAAAAACCTCTTCCGCTATATTATATTATATTTTATATTTTTTTTATTTATTTATTTGTCTCGTTTTAGTGCGCTTTTTCGTTTCATTGAGTTTCAAATCACAACGAAGATAAAGAAGTTATCACTTCAAAATATCTTGTTATGAAAACTCTTATATATACGATACGTAAAGTATCGTATAAATAAATTTCAGAAGGAAAAACATCCAGAATCGGAATAAATATTTGTAAGCCATACAAATTCTTGTTTCTTGCAAGATTCGAACCCATGGCCCTCAGTGCTGCAGCTCATTGCTAAGCCACTGCGCCACAAAGCCGTCAAAGTTGTAGTGATGTACAATGAATTTTAGTTTAATTTTTTTAGAAAAATAATTTTATGACACGAAAATATGCCAACATTTGATGTCTTAATATGAGTTGACTTGATGCTGAGTCGAAACAAGGACGAAGAAGAAGCCTTAGGCATTAGCCGTAGAATATTACTCAGGCTGCAACCTAATTCGTTCTGGGAAGGTTCCTTATATGTGTAGAAGGTGTACAGATAAATAATACTCCTGTAGTTACTACACTAGCATATTTATTATTCCACAAAAATACAAAGAAATAGAATTATATAGTCACAAGAAGAATGCAACACTTGACGAGAAGCTACAAGCGTAAAGATAGAAAGAAAGGTGAGAAGGTTATAAGAAACAAGGTAACAGAGCCAAGCGACTAGGAAACATTTTATTCCACTTCAAAAAAGGAGGAGGTACTCAATTCGACTGTAGCTTTTTTATGTGTGAACATAACATTTTTCTAGGTAAACTGATTTTGATGATTCTTTTTTTTTTATTTGAAAGCTGGTGGTTTTCGTATGGTCCCATATAAATTTGATCAAGATCAGCCCAAGTGGTTTTTGAGATATCGTTAATAATGCGTATTTAATTAACTTCGAATACATTGATGATGTTCTCATTTTATTTATATTGAAGTCGGTTGTACATTTCTTTTATTTTGTCACTTGTAATATAGAGCGTTAGTAAACCAAAGTGACAATCTGTTTCAGTATATTTATTTAGGTTAAGTTCCAAGAATCCTACTGAAAAGATTAAATAACTTTAAATAAGTATTAAGTATTCTTGTAACCTATATTAAATTAAAAAAATTCTATTCTTTTGTACCCCATTCAAAATTTCAATAGATGCTATATTTAGTAACGAGGAGCCCGAACAGAAAGAAAAAATTTTTTTTCTATACATCGAAATATTAATGAAAAGACAAATTAGCTTCTTCAAATATACTGTAGAAAAAACAGCTAAGATGTTACTTAAAACAAAATAACTATACAATAACATTTAACGAAATTCAAAAGCAAATAAAAGGAGGTTTTTTTCCACCCTCAGGTGTAGCACTTTTACTTTAGAAACCCGTGAAGTATAACCTATGTAATTATAAAATAATCTTCAAAATAGAATCTCATTTGGCGAAGATATCGTGTAACATATATGCAAAATGAACATACATTCGAATTATGAACCTCCTCCTTTTTTGAAGTTGACTTAACAGCCGAATGTGATTTTAAGGATTAAAAATAATAATTCGTCCTCCGAAACGAATTTCGGTCACGGCTGCCAGTGTCAACGGAAACTATTCAACTGCGCAGGACAAGATCATAGTGCATTCTTGGTTTGCGCAAGCACACCTGAACTCTGTGTTTCGTCATAGTTCGATGGGACGGTAATCTGACATTACCGGAGAGCGATTAGGTGCCGGACTAACGGCTTTACCTGTTTTCCAATGCACGGGGCTGAAACATCGTCATATTTCTGACACAGGGCTGCTATAATTGTTATGTATATGTTACTAGGAAGAAAATTTTACAGTAAATATGACACGATGATATTAATTTCAAATGGCTCGTAAACGTTCTATAGACATTTTTGGCTCGGGGGTGCAGTTGCTTGTCATTGATTTGCTGCTTTTAAGGCCGAGTCACTCTCCAGACTGTGACACTTCGTTCGACTTGTTCCATTTGATCACATTCGGCAAAGAGCACTCTGATTATCAAGTTCTTTCTGATCAGCTCGATTCACTGGCGCTGCGAAGAGAATTTGAGGAATTATTTGGATTAATTCCAACCACCAAATTCTACCAACGTATATCTTGACAAAACTAACGATACCATCCACACTATCTGAATGCTTGGGGTCCATCACTGTGCGATTTACTTGGAGTTTCTTTCCTTGCCACAACTTCTTTGTGCAATTGTTTACAACCGGTGGTTTTTCTGAACCGATATGACTAAGGGACTTTCAAGAAACGAACTTACTCCTCTTTAAAATGCCGGCCTTCAATTCCCCTTGTTACGAATGCTCGTTCTTGGCGGTTGATACTTCATAATACATCAGGCTAGCCGCATGCACGTTTGTCCTCTCTTCTATGTATAAAAAAGTTTATAGTTCGTTAAATAATTGTAAGTAGTTAGTGTTGCAATGCACTTGTAAATTCTTTCAATTTTTATAAAACCGAACGTCTCTGACGATATTTGTTACTTGTGGAGGTACTTTTAATTTTAATTTAGAAGGCTGTGTTTTCGGGAACGTGATTTTTAATCACGAAATTGAATATTTTTA